GGAGACCACAGTGGATGCAGAGTTGCAGACAGCTTCTGTGCATGAAGGTGCCCACAGAGCCAGCAGCAGCAGAAGGGATGCAGTCCCAAAAGTGACCCTGGCCACAGCAAAGCCAACACAGCTGCTCCCTACATGTCCTCACCCATGAAGGTGCCCATTCTTATGCAGCTTGAGGCTTTTGCTCTACATGAGGGACTCTGTTGGCAAGAACTCTGAGCAGCCATCTCCTTTCTGCTGGAGTAAGGGAATTCAGGATGCAGGCCCAGCTGGCCCACATCCCAGCAGGGTGACCAAGATCAGGCACCTCCACTGCTAAGCGGGCAGTGTAAAGAGGGGAGCAGCATGATCTGATGTGCTGGGCATGCTGACCCCAAGCAACACAGCAGTCTTGCTGTGGCCATGGCCTCCAGCACACAGAGCCCAGGGTGTCACAAGATGGCTTGTGAGGGCTGTAAACTTCATTAGTTACCCAACACACTGCTTGGTGTTGGAAAAAAAAAAAAAAAAAAAAAAAAAAGAAGAAGAAGAAAAAAAAAAGAAAGACATATTTGTTGATTTGGGAAATAAACACCCAAACTGGCACCACAAAAGAGACACTCGGCACACAGCTGCCTCCCAGCTCTGCAAGAAACACACTTTGCTCCCCAACTGTCCCCTCAACTCAGGCAGACGCCCTCCCACCTCACCAGAAACCATGCTAGAAAACACCCACCACCCCAGAGGTGCTAGGAGACCCATTCCTTCCTCTGGGCACACTGTTGTAAGGAGGGGAGAGCTCTCAGCTAGAAGCCCCATAGACATACCCAGCTGTATTTGCCAGGCAAGAACAAGTACAGCTAAGATATGCCCCACCACACACTCTCCCCTTCCCTCCCCTCACAGGCAGGAAGGATTATGGGGCCAGTTCAGGGAACTTCTTGTACTGCCAGGGCATGAACCTTCCTCTCCCAGTCTCCAGGAGGCACAAAACATCTCGGAGTGGTTGCAAGCAGACAGGCTTTGTACAGAGTTCCTGCAAACATCACTGCTTTTATTTAAAGCAAAAAACACAGGATGTTACAGATGAGTGGAAAAATGTGAACTGCCCCACTGCCTGCAGAGCCCCTCAGCCTTGAGAATGCTCTTCTGGAAGTCAGAGGGTCTTCAGACAGGATTAGGAAAGCACATAGCGTCCACTTTAGCTTTTTATTTTTACCCTGCTTGGCTGCAACTACACCTCCCTGAACCCCCACCACAAACAGCCCCCCAGCCAGGGTCCATTACCTTCCCTCCCACTTGCAGCTTCCCATAACCCTTTTGTATTTGACTGCTGGGAGGCCTTTTTTTAACTTCTTTTGTCAGCTCCATCTCTTTTGAAACACTGGAAAGCTACCAGCAAGAAGCCTGGCTCCGGCTCCCCACTGCCAGTGCTGGCAGCAGCTTGCCCAGGTCCTCTGCCAGAATCTGCCTGGCTGCAGGGGCACACAGACAACCCCAGCCCAAGCTGGGCAGGAGCCACAGCCACCTCTGCCCCTGCTCAGCCTCATACAAACAAGTTGTTCCATTCAATGCCTCAAGAGCTTGCACAACAACTGCTTTGTAGCACCCACCAACATTCACAAAGTGCCAGAGGTCCCAAAACTCTGATACCTGTCACAGGGTTCTCTTATATAGCTTTGGAGACAAATAAGATTTTGCTTCACTCCTTTATTTGATACAAGACAAAGAAGGCCACAAATAGATTATTTTTTCCCCTTAATGTTAGCATATGCTTTTAATTCATCAAGCTAAGTAGGCCACAAGTCAACCTATCTACCATATTTATCCAGTCAAACTTGGAAACATCTCCAATATTTAGTTAAAGAAAACAAACACTTATGACCTAATTAACCATCCACAGGGTCTCCTTTGCTGATGCTTCTTACCTTGCAGTATCTTCAGAACTAGAAAGAAGCAGCAGCCCTCAAAAGAAAGCACAATCCACATCAATTCTGTAGAGCCAAATCGTGTTTAATCCTCTATGCTCAATTTATACCCATGGAAATACCTGGCCCAGAGCACCTTTTAATTGATTACAATTAGAAACTGTTGTTTGGCTTTCCACTAGTGTCAGTGACCCCAGCTGTATGATCTGGCAAAAAGAGGGGCAGTTACTATTTTTTAACTACAATTCCATTTTCTGAGCATAGTAAAATAGCTAAGCAGTGTATTGAATGACACAGTACTACTCATATGCTTAAGCACCTGGGTCCTTGATCTTATGCTTTATAAAGTGCTCTGAGCTGTGCTGTAATTGCCTATAAATATGCTGCTGATCATGCTTAAAGGGACACTGTCAAGGTTGGCAGGCCTACAGTTTCACTTAGTAAAATGACATCCTAAAATAGTTTCATTCTCAGTGTTCCTAAATTACCAGACTGTGATTTTTTTAATGCTTCTTTTTATCAGTCCAGCTCCTAGGATTGATAAGGCTATGGGAGAATGTTCACTTTTAAAGCAATGGCCCAGTCACAGAAACAGTGTGATAGAGGCTAACGATCCTGTCTAGAACATGCAAGTAAAAGCATTTTGCTGTGAAACCTATTTTTTCTTATGACAATGAGCATGACCTCTAATGCACTTGCAGTTTGCAATAAAGCCACCCTTTGCTGAAGCAACATCTTGTGAAAGAAGTCTTCAAGCAGGAGCACAGGGCTGAGGGGATCAGGTCTGGGCAAGCCTACAGCTGCACAAAGTACCCATTTTCCATGGTGTTTCTTTGTCAGCTAGTAGTAGTCTTGTCCTAGTTGAGCTAAAGGGAATGCATAAAGACTAAGTCAAGGAAGAGTTACAAAGGTGGTGAGGAGCCTGTAACTTCATCTCATCCTCAGCAGGGCTGCCAGGGTTCAGAGGGTTGATGGGATGGGGAAATCCCAGGGACAAGAGTCCCTTCCCATACTGTCCCTACTGCAAGCAGCTCTGTGGCTGGAGCCCAGCAGCAGGGGAACTGAAGCCAGCTATTGAGGAGTTTTTTGATCTCAGGCAAAGAGAGACAATGGGCTTTCTCTTAAAGACAGAATACAAATACCTAAGGAGTGAAAGGTGGCCTCTGATATTTCCTTTATGAAGGGTTAGATTTGTTTCCAAGCTATCTGAGCTCCCCCCTGAGCGGCAGTCCTCCAGCACACCCATGGGAAACCTGCAATGCCACAATAAAAAAACCCATGGGTGCCAGTAACTGAAAAAGTATGGCTCATCTGTGCTATGGACAATTCAGGATGGAATTGCTGAGGGGAAACAGAGGGAGAAACTGTAAGCAAAAGCTGTGCTGATAGTGCCAGGGTGGCTGTGTAGAGAGTCATTTTTGGTAGAGTGGCCTCAGTTCACCCCCCTCTCCGCCCCCCCGCAGTATTCTGCCAGACTCCGTGCTGCAAGATTTGAAGACAAAGCTCTTGATTTTCCCAAGACATAGGCCTACAGCCAGGCTTTACCTCCCTTTCTGCCTGGGGGGTGAAAGATTTCCAGATACCCTGGATGTGAGGCAGCCTATTGGTTGTGCTCATCCATCACAGGTATGTGTTAGTCACAGGACAGACACTGCCTAAACTCTAGGGATTTGAGGGAAGTCCTGGCAATGCGTAAAAGAAGACTCAGAAAGAACAAAAAACACCAAATCAAGCCAAAACAAACAATAAAAAACAAACCCAAAGAAAGGTCTCTCGAGCCTGGGAAAACGGCACACCAGCAGTAACCAAACCTAAACCAGGGACTCATGAGCGCTAGTGCCTGGTGGCATCACTTGATGCTACAGTTTCTCAAGCAGGAAGAATAAAAATTTCACCTGCAACTTCTTTCAATTACAGAGAAGGGAAAAAAATAGTAAGAAAAAAATCCTCAGGCGGAAGATCCCACAGAACAGACAAAGGCAAGTTTAATGTCAGTCTAATGACAGATCCAGCTCAAAGTTTCATCAGGTGGGAAGGTGTTCCCCACGCTTCCAGTATGCACCCAAGCAAACAGCACGGGATAGAGGCAGTATCTCTCACACAGGAAAGCCTTGTAGCATGAGAATATGGATGTGGCTAAGCACTTGGAAAGTCTCACACATCTAACACCGAAGGGTGCATTTCAAGCTCTAACAGACACAGAAAAACATTTGAAGGTGAAATTTGCATATATTTTAAGAACTTCCAGAAACCAGAATAAAAGCAAAATGAGCCCAAAGTCTATACTTTTAAAAATCTCATGCTTTTTAGACAAAGCTCATATGTCCGGAGTTGTTTTGAGCAGACTCAATATTTTTAAATGGTTGTCCTTGAGAACTGTAAAACTGGTTTTATTTTTAGTAGGTGTATTCCATAGATGTGCTTAAAAAGCAATAAAGTCAATCTCAATAGCCTTGCTTAAATCCATGATTATAACAATTCTGTGTTGTGGGTATGCAGGGAGAAACTGAATAGGAAATTGTAAGGGATTCTTGTAACAATAGTAACATTGTTTGCACACACAGATACCATAATAACAGAAAAGCAATAGCAACCTTGCAGTTACAAAAAGTCATCTGCACCCTTTAAGAAGATATGTGTATGTTCTTCTTTTATTCAGATTAACAGTGTCATTAGGGGCTGATACACTATATACGCTGCATCTGCCATCTGATTGATTGACATTTAGTCTGGGCTTCTTTTCTTCAAAATAGTGGTTTGTGCCTGTTGTTCACCAAGAGGAACTCAAGTTCCATGAAGAGGTAAACACTTGGAAGCTGAGACTGGGAGAGTGTAAGAAACATGAGTTAATTTCATGACAGTGATTTATAATGGACCATATAACTCTTCTCACCATAATTGGTGTATACATTCAACAGTCTTATTGTATGTCAGTGCACATTATTTGGCACAGCTGCTAGAGAGGCATTGCTGAACTGGTGTTTCTCTTCCATGACAAACACCTATTAAGCAGTCAGCATAAACTCTTCTTGTTACAGCCTCTGACATCACCCTCAGGGCAAGTGGACACAGAACAGCAATTGCTGAATCGTGTATGAAAATTATAGTTTTATTGTCTATACAAGTGAAGGTTTAACTCTGATTCCTGCTCGAGTCAGCTCTGTTATAAAGGAGCGATTCTTTCAGGGAACAAACAAGCACAGTGCAGCATTGTAATCAAAAGAACAGGCACTATTTATGTACTGGAAAGCCTTGTTCACAATAGTAACACTCTAATGCCCCAGAAGCCACTATTTTAGCAGCTGTAGAGAAAAAAAGCATGACTAACAAGATGACACACAGAGTCAGATACAGTTTTTTTTAGAAAACAAATGGAATCATCCCATTTGATACAACTCAGTTTAATATGCACGACTGATAAGTAGGGATCATGTATTTAATGTTTATATAAGCATGTCTTCCACCACGGCGTTCAAAGGCTTCCAGTGTCTCTTGAATCAGATCTCCAATATTTTCACGCTTCTGTTGGCTGTAGTCTATCCCGTCGCCCAAATTAACTGGTGAAAGAAAACAACAACAAAACCCAAGAATTACATTACATTTACTGTTACACTTCGAAACAACGACACAGGAAATTGCAATTGCTGGCCAGTCACTCTGCCTCTGTTAGAAATTTTGCTCTCTGACATGAAACAGAGCTGAATTTGAAAACATGATGGTTTTGGTGTCTCTGAGGCTCTGCTGAGGCTCTGACTTCATATGGCTTCAAAATTTGTTTATGTATGTATTACTCCAGTATCTAAGCAAAAATCCTAATAGAAATAATGAAGACATTCTTTTGTAAGATAAAGATGGACTCTCTTACACAAATTAGCCTTTTAAGACCACTACTTCTTGATTTCTAACACTGTTTATTTAGGACAAAATTCTACTGCCAGATGCATAATCTACAAAATGAGACTTAAGCTAGACTTGTTACAGTTTGAAATCTTAAATAGCTATTGTTTTGAGATTGTTCCATTTTAGACATTATATTCACACTCTAATATTGTTTCTGACAGAGGGGATGTCATGTGGCTTAAAAGAGATATTTGGAATATAACATGGAACTCATTCAATTTCTGCTTCCTGAAAAATGTGTAAAATTAGGTCAATGTCAAAAGAACAAATTATTGCAGCCTTCATATGCAGTCACATTTACTGCTGCTTTCCTTAATATGGATTAGCAAGGGTGACACATACATACACATGGAGCATAATTCTTTAAAAAAAAAATCACTGTGAACAACTGTGACAACAAAAAATACAATAAGATATTACTTCACCTTCAATGATACTGAGAGATTTTGTTTTAAAACAATATTCTGAAAACAATATTAATATGGATATATGCCAAGACATCTATCAAAAATAATTTGGTAGGAGCATCATGTCCTCAGATGGGGTATAGTGTCCAGGTGGAGTTGCTGTCACACTGCTTTAGGGTAGTCTGCACTCAACCAGTCAGTGGTCTCACGCTGGCAGTGGTGGCAATGTGCCTATTTAACACTTCAGATAAGGCTTCTTGCTTATTGACACTCTCAGCAAAGGACACATTTGTCAAGACAACGCAACTAGCGTCTCAAGTTCTGCCTGCCTTTCACAGTAGATTCATGGTGCACACAGGGCACGGGTAGATTTTGCTCCCACGGCTGCTTTCACTTCCCCAAGCTGATGGGGTGTAGAAGTACAACTGCACCCACTCTCACACCCTCTCCTGGATCTAAGCCCAAGGATCTGGATTTAAAGCTTGTGATTTCAGTAAAAACTGAACAGCCATTGTTGTGAGGTTAGAGCTGAGGAACATGGGTAAAAATTCTTCTTTTCCTGAATTTTCCTGTAAAATATCTGATTTAAAGTTAATTAATTAATCTGATATCCAAGTGAATTATGGGTATATCAGTTTTTAAACTCCTTACACACATTTGTGTCACTGCTTTTTGTAAAATGTTTACACAAATACAGATGTGACAATACAAGGACTGGGCTTTGAGTGGAAAGGCATTTCTTTATGATGATTACTCTTAAGCACATGAATACTTTCCTATGAATTAGCTATTTATTTCACAAGAGAAACCAGGCTTGTGACATCAAAACTTACCATAATAAATTTAATGTAGTATAACAAATAACAAATTACTAGAGTGCACAGAAAACACCGAGAACTATCAAATAAAATAATTGGTTTATACCAAATACCAATGCAAAAAGAAAAGCACAGCCCAATTGAGTACAATTTAGACTAAACATGGTTTGTTATTGCAGAAAACAACTGAGATCAGCTGTGCCTCATCACTTGTGCTGTACGTGCACTACCAGCACTCCGCAGAACACCTGGAGGTTTTTCTGATTTTACCAGTTTGAGCAAAGGAAACCCTGAACCTTGACCTAAGTCTTGGCAAATATGCAAAGGAATTACTGACTTTACAACCATTTGTCTATTATCTGTAATTTTAAGCCTACACACATGCTCTGCTAATGAGCTTACACAGCTTTCATCGTTGTTTCAAAGAAGTAGTAAAAAATCAGCTCTCTGGAAGTAATGGTGATACATGGCTGAGCAAGTTTAGAGGAGGCCAACAAGACACCATGATAATGGTGGTAGTAGAAGTATTTTCCAGAATACAGTCTTTATTACTGAGTACAGTCTGTACAATAAATGATGCCTTAAATCCTCTATTAACAGGTGCCTAAGTGAATGAGGCAATGATAAAGGAAATAGTCTGCAAGGGAAGACTGAATGTGTGATGTGCAGACGGTCATTACAATTTTTTTTTTCCTGCAGACCATCTGTGCTATATGAAGGTTTGTATCCTCAAGACAGCAATAATTCACATTAATGTCATGACACAAGCTATAACCAACAATACCAGAAAGGTTATGTCAGCATCAAGGTCAACTGGTAAGTAATAAAATAGCTATCCTATGCAGTTATAGGAATTAACAAATCTTTCAGACAAAAAAGATAATCATTAACCCAACAGGACAACATCCACTAAACGGATGAGTCAGAATGATCTGCCCAGTGTACCTAAGGGTAAATATCTCATCATAATAATAATGATTATTAGTGGGAAAAAAAACAGCTACTGAAGTATAGCAGTCTCAGCATGTCCTTCTCCGCTCTGTCTCTATTTCCAAGTTAGTTTGCAAGAGAAGCCAACTTTGTCAGCCACAAAAATGTTGCATGTGTAAAGTGTGAACATGGATCTGATTCAAGCTCTTTATGAAGTTGTCCTTTGTAAGGGAGAATAAATCAACATGAAAATGCTAGAAAGCACATTTGTCATATCTGTGTCTCAAAGTGAAATGTCTGGCAAAGTCAGCATGTATCAAGGACTCTTTTCAGAGCAAATGTTATTCCTGAGTTTAGAAGAAATGCGTTAAAGGAATACTAACAGATCTAGAGGATTATAGTCAGGAAAAGATCCTATTTTCCCTTCCTGGATCAAAAAGCTTGTTCCCAGTCTCCTCCTAAATCTTGCACCAATGGTTTTATGGTCCTTAAAATGAAGTGAAATCCTTTGCACCTGTCAAGACCTGCACGACCTGATGAAATCACCCAGTACACCAAGCCCAGGAGTGGCACTCCCTACCCTGCTGTCAGTGCTGCCAGTGCCAGCTGCTGTAGCTGAAGAAACCCTGCTCAGACCCTCAGGGACTGAACCCAGTATTTGGCAGTGAACAGAGGACTTGAATTTTGGTTTAAAGCATGGTTTGTATTTGAGTCTAGACATGCTTCTATTAATGATTCAGGATATTAAAGAAATTCTAGTACTATTTGTATTCAATCTAATTTCATTCTAAAATTTCACTAGGGTAGTGCTACAAATATAAAATTGCATTGCATTAAAGGAGGATAAGCAAGTTTTTCTCAATATATTATTAGCTTGATATGGCAGTTTTGAGTGGACAAGAAAGGTAAACCAACCCTCAAAGCTCAGTCAGATCTATTCTTATCTCTAGATATTTGTTAGCATCTGAAAGTGTCTGAAACATTTTTTTCAGTTTATGAGATTTCACTTAAAGTCAGGTGAGATCTCAAAAAGATGGTTTTTAATCCCCTAAATATGATGAAGTACATTTCTATATGTATTTCACAGATACCAGAGCTCTCTCCTGATGGTGGCTGTTCTGAAGGTTCTGCTTCACCAAAAGGAAAAATTAGTACCGGAGTTTTTGTACAACTGTTGTTGTAGGGATATCGTAAATCTTGGGATGTTAAAATGTCCCCAAACTTTAAATACAAAATTAATTATCTGTGGAATGCTTACTGTTAGAGGACAGAATAATACTTAAAAGAGACTGTGAAGGAAGACCCATGTCCCCAGCTTAGGCAATCTGTTCAATAAAATTGCAACTGAAAGACCATTCCTTTATCCTTTGCTGATTAACTTTTAACTGTATATATAGGCACACATGTATTTCAACTTGTTGTCTTGGAACAAGAGGGTCCTAGAAGAAATTTTTTAACTACTACTTGTTAAGAAGAGAGAGCTCTTGTATGATGGTTTTGTGGTTTTTTGGTACACAAATCAATAAAACTGCTTCAGGCATCATTCCTCCCTTTTTGAATCTTGAGAGAGATACTGAAAGATAAAATTACTTGTTCTGAGTCGCAGAAGGGATCAGTCACAAATCATGCTTTTAGACTTTTTATTGTAGATTATGAAAGTGCTATTTATGGTAAAATGTAACTATGGTAAAATAATTTTTAAGCTGCTCAGTTAATTCTAGTCAAACCAACAGGTATTTTCAGCAATTAAAATGATTACAGTAATCCAACATGCTAACCATTTAACTGACACAGAACAATGTATAGTTAAGCATTAAAGCTTAACTATAAGCTAGCATTAAAATATTTTGTGGGAAGTTTCAGGACTTATTTTTTCTTCTAGAAGTCAGCATCAATACCAAGAAACAAATGGAATCTCATTTTGGCTATAGATTGACATGCATCTATGTCAGGGTCCAGATGGCATAAGTTCACTGCTCAGGTACAGTCTGGAGCTTAACTAATTTTCAAAGTTGTCTGATTAGGATTAGTTTAACTGTAATAAAAGACGTTGGCTTCCTGACCGGAGTGGAAAATGAAAGTCCATGATGAGTCAGTGTGGCGAGAGGGGGGAGGGCTCCTTTGCTCTGCTCTTGCTGTGACTCAGAACTGTGCTTTGAAATCATCAGCTTCAGGAAGGATGAGGTAGCTTGGTCTCCCTGTTCATTTAATTAAAAGTCAGTGAAAAGTCACAGGGTAAGACTCTGAACCCCTCCTGTTTGCTAAGAAACAGAGGGATATTGCCAGCTTATTTCACTCAGGTGAAGGAAAAGGCACTAGGAGGTTATGACTTATCATCATTATTAACACAGACAGAAAACCCTGTGTTCCATTCCTGAAGACTCAGAGCAATGTAAACACCAGTTTTAAACACTTCTTAAGACACGTCTAGATTATGTGCACACAGAAGTGCAAACTGGCTTCGTGCAGGCTGGTCCCAAAGCTAGACTGCTGGAAAGAAGA